GATGGTCTCGATCTCTTGACCTCGTGATCCACCCGCCTCGGCCTCCCAAAGTGCTGGGATTACAGGCTTAAGCCACCGCGCCCGGCCTTTTGAATGATTCTTACATGATACCTCTTAACACAGGTAATCACATGGATCCAGCACCTGATCCCCAAGATTGAAGATGGAAATGATTTTGGGGTAGCAATCCAGGTAAGAAAAGGGTAACTGAAGTCTCCTCACTGGGAGTGGGGAGAGACTTGGAGGGTGAGAGTTAGGAGTAGGACATGAACCAGAAGGAGGAGGAAGGTAGTGTTTGAAGAGGGAAGGACATGAAGTGTTGTCTTTGCCTCCCATGTCATCACAGGAGAAGGTACTGGAGAGGGTGAATGCTGTCAAGACCAAAGTGGAAGCTTTCCAGACAACCATTTCCAAGTGAGCGGAGCTGGAAGACCAGTATAGGGGGGCAGTAGGGGCATTTCTTTGGGACCCCCAAAGCTGGGTAGCCCCATCACGATGATGGGAGACTTTGGGGAGGGTCCGAGGGAGTACATCTCCCTCAACACTCATTCCTGTGGTATTCCCTTGCTTCTGGCAGGTACTTCTCAGAACGTGGGGATGCTGTGGCCAAGGCCTCCAAGGAGACTCATGTGGTGAGTGGATAGTCCACCTGCCTTTTAGCTGGGGGTGGGAAGAGGAGGTGTGGAGGAAGAGGTCTTCCTTGTCTTGTTTGTGACCTTCCCAATATTAAGCTAAAAGCATTGCCTAGAAAAACAGATTTGGGCTTCAACAACCTTGATCCTTTTCTCTGCTCAGTCCTTTGGGATCCTATTTCTTGGTGCTAAGAAGGGGTTCATTCTCTAGTTAACCTATTTCCTGTAAAAGGAAACCATACACATGTCCCAACATCCCATGGGACTGACTCAGCTTTGCCTCCCACATTGCAGATGGATTATCGGGCCTTGGTGCACGAGCGAGATGAGGCAGCCTATGGGGAGCTCAGAGCCATGGTGCTGGACCTGAGGGCCTTCTATGTGAGTGTGGAGTAAGCCCTTAGGGCAGGTGGATGAGTAGGGGTGGGCAGGGGATTGACCAAGAACCTCATTCTTGCTCCTTGGCCTTCTCCCAGGCTGAGCTTTATCATATCATAAGCAGCAACCTGGAGAAAATTGTCAACCCAAAGGGTGAAGAGAAGCCATCTATGTACTGAACCCAGGACTAGAAGGAAAATAAATGACCCAAATAAAAGACCTTCCTGTGTGTGTCATTCATTCAAAAAACATTTATTGAGTGGCACCTATGTCCAGACTGAAGATGAATGTCGTGGGAAGGGGTGGGTGTCATGAAGACAAAGATGAATTAGATGCCCACCGTAATCTTAAGAGGCCCTCCAAAGGAACAGGATGGGGATTGTTACATGCCATGACAAACATGCAGATAACCTGTATTTTGAAATTCCACAATATTGTTTTCATTCAGAGGTCTCATGAATTAGTGGAAGAGGTGGCATTTGCACAGAGCCCTTACAGGAATAATCAGGCTTTGGCTAGACATGGGGACATCAGGAATGAAGAAAGAATCCTCATTAGTTTGGGACAAGCCTAGAAGGAGAATGAGGTTTTGCTGGGAGAACTATGGATGAATGATTGGACTCCTTCTTAGGGGCTGGGAGGGAAAAAAATAACGCTCCCAAGGCATTGTGGTTAAGGAAATACACCGCAGCACATTATGGGAAGGATGAATCTGTAAGTTTTTCTTACTGTCCTCCCCCACACCCCTTTCAGCCAGTCACTGTCTTTATCTCTGCTTTTCGTAATTCAGCCCTGGGCTGGTGGTAGAGACAAGGGTTCTTTTGCTGTGATCTTTGCTATAAATTCCATGGGATTGTTCTTTAATTCAAGGCCTTACCCTGTTATAGAATATGAGATAAGAATGTGCTGTGAAGCACTGGACAATCTGGAAGCCTGCTCTCATACAGATATCATTAAATCCTTAAAGGACCATGGGCAAAAGATAAGAAACCAAGGGCAAGAAAGCCTTGCAGTCGCGAAGGTAACACGGCTCATTAGTAAGTGACAGAGCCGATCTAGCGTACAGATCCAGTCATCCCATAATAGGTGCAAGGCAGTCTGCTTTATCTGCAGAGCTCCGTGACAACCGACTGCGGGCTAGCGCTCCATCCCCGGGGCTTGGCCGGGCCAGTGGTGGTGGGTAACACGGGTAGCAAGCAAAGCCAACCAGCAACCGAGAGCAGAAGTCGGAGAACCTAGCCAATAAGAGTGCGGGCAATTTTCTTTTTACTTTTTTCTTTTTTNAAAAAGATTTTTTTTTCTTTTTTTTTGAGACGGAGTTTCACTCATGTTACCCAGGCTGGAGTGCAATGGCGCGATCTCGGCTCACCGCAACCTCCGCCTCCTGGGTTCAGGCAACTCTCCTGCCTCAGCCTCCTGAGTAGCTGGGATTACAGGCACGCAACACCATGCCCAACTAAGCGGGCAATTTTCTTTGCTTTACAATTGTGGGTTCTTTCCAGTCCGCTGGAGACAAAGGCGGGGCAAGGTTGGGACGCGGCCGCTGATTGGACAAAATGAAAGCCTTTAGCCCTATCAAGGAGCACTACGTGGGTGGGACTTCAGGAGCCAGTTCTGCACCCAGCGGTAGCTTGCTGAGTCTCCCAGGCAGGCGCTGAGTCGCGACCGCCCGCTAAGGGCGCGGGAGGCGGGGCTCGGTGCAGAGGGATGCAATCGGGACCGCCTCCTGGGCCGGGCCGGGGTCGGGCTCCTGTACCCAGGGAGCAGGCCTGCGAGCTACCGCGACCCTAGTCAGCGTTGTACCCGAACCGAAGTGAGAGGGCACGGGGAAGAGTCAAAGAGGGTGCCGAAGCGCTCGAGGGAGCTTCACGGACGCGAGCTGGGCACCGGCTCGCCTGGGCGGGGAGGGGAACCGGCTCTAATCCGGCTTGCTGTTTCCTGGGCAGCCCTGCTCGCCATGGGGGAGGTGGAGATATCTGCCCGGGCCTACGTGAAGATGTGTCTGCACGCTGCCCGGTACCCACACGCCGCAGTCAACGGGCTGTTGCTGGCGCCACCCCCGCGGTCCGGAGAATGCCTGTGCCTCACCGACTGTGTGCCCCTCTTTCACAGCCACCTGGCCCTGTCCGTCATGTTGGAGGTCGCCCTCAACCAGGTGCCTCGGTTGGATGCCCATCCCCCACCGCGAACCCACCCAGCACCCCAGCCCAAGTTCATCCCCAGTCCCTTGGCAGCAGTGCGCATCCACAAAGCCAGCGGCACGATTTAGTGACTGATGGCCCCTTTCCCACGACAGGTGGATGTGTGGGGCGCACAGGCCGGTCTGGTGGTGGCTGGGTACTACCATGCCAATGCAGCAGTGGACGACCAGAGGTGAGTGGCGTAGCCAGAGGCAGAAGGAAAGGATTATGGTGGGAGGGATGGGGGGAGCGGCACGCAAGAGAACCAAGGTCATTCCTTTAATCTTTCCTTTATCAAAGCGTAGGAGTAAGGGCTTTACATGAGGTACTATGCTAGGTGCTGGAGTGAGGAAATACAGAGATGAATAGGACAGAGCCCTGCCCTGGAGTGGTGGGGGCGGGGAGGACAACTGTATATCAACAGACTGATTTTTTTTGTTTGTTTGAGACGGAGTCTTGCTCTGTCGCCCAGGCTGGAGTGAAGTGGCACAATCTTGGCTCACTGCAACATCCGCCTCCTGGGTTCAAGCGATTCTCCAGCCTCAGCCTCCAGAGTAGCTGGGATCACAGTCGAGGGCCACCATGCCTGGCTAATTTTGTTTGTTTGTATTTTTAATTGAGACAGGGTTTTGCCATGTTGGCCAGGATGGTCTAGAACTCTGGACCTCAGGTGATCCACCTGCTTCAGTCTCCCAAAGTGCTGGGATTACAGGCATGAGCCACCGCACCAGGCCAACAGACTGATCTTGCTTTAACTGAGGTGTCCCCCAGGTGCTGAAAGAACAGAGAAAGCCCAATCAGGAAACTTCCAAAAATAGGAAAGTTTCCTTATATATAGAGAGAGAATTATATACATAATATATATAAAATATATATGTAATATATATATAAATCATATACATGAAGCAAGTTAGAGATACTGTTTTGTAAATTTGTGTTTCTTCCTCACTTAATAAATATTTGACATCATTCCATTTCCACACCAAGATCTACCTTTCCCTAATAGCTGTATAGTCTGAATATGGATGTACCATAATTTATGTAATGCTTTACATTAAATATTGAAGTTTCCAATGTTTTATTACAGTCACTGTCCTATTATTACTGTAACTTCTTTGTAAGTAGAATTTCTGGGTCAGCATATGTATAGTATGTATACAGTTTCAATTTCGATGGTTGTGCTGTTACCTTCCAAAAAGACCACCTTTGGTTTCCACTCTCACCAGCAATATCTGAGCACCTGTTTCCCACAGCACTCAAGCATCAAGCAGTCGTGCATCAAGCATCCAGCAGGCCTGATCCCCGCAGGCTGGCTACAGGGAAAGGCCACAGCTGCGCCCACATCTATGAGACCTGGGAGGCCCAGCTCAAATGGATGGGTTTTGCCCACAGTTGGCTCCTCACTCTGATCTTCCCTCTACACAGCCCTGGGCCCCTGGCCTTGAAAATTGCTGGGCGAATTGCAGAATTCTTCCCTGATGCAGTACTTATTATGGTGAGGCTTGGGTTACCAGGTAGGGAGGTAAAGAGAAAGTGGGGTGGGGGGACCCTTGAAATTCTCACTTGCCCTTCTTTCTCCACTCAGTTGGATAATCAGAAACTGGTGCCTCAGCCTCGTATCCCCCCAGTCATCGTCCTGGAGAACCAAGGTCTCCACTGGGTCCCTAAGGACAAGAACTTGTGAGTACCCCATTTCCTCTACCTCTTCTCAGAAGCCCAAGGCTCCTGGGTCTCCCCTGTCCTTGGCCCTGCCCCAAAGGTCTTCCTCTAGACTCAGTCTCTGTTAAGTCTGTGTCTGGCCCCACTACTTGCTGTTTGACCTCCATGGGGGTTACTATTTCAGAGTGATGTGGAGGGACTGGGAAGAGTCAAGGCAGATGGTGGGAGCTCTACTGGAGGATCGGGCCCACCGGCACCTTGTGGACTTCGACTGCCACCTTGAGGACATCCGGCAGGACTGGACCAACCAGCAACTCAACACTCAGATCACCCAGTGGGTTGGTCCCACGAATGGAAATGGAAATGCCTGAGCCAGGGCGGTCCAGATCCAATAAAGAGACTTGGGCTAATGGGCAATGGTGTAACTGTATTTATTGTGCCTGGGAGGCAAGGTGAAGGAAAAATCTCAACAGGAGCAAGTTTGGGGAAAGTCTGGAGTCCCTAGTAAAAAGCAGGAAGGTGTCTGCTGTACCCCTCACAGAATGGGAGCGATCTCAATAGATCATTCCCTTTGTTTCTCCCCTGGGCTTCTTGAGTTTCTCGAAGTTCTTCAGGATGATGTCATATAACACAGCCTGCAGGGCCAGGGAGGAGTGGAGGTCAGTCGGAGGCCTCCAGTGGCTCTGTACCCCATTTCTAGCCTTGTGGAGAAGCTGAGCTTTGTCACCCTTAACCCCCAGCCTGCAGGGTCAGGGAGTAGGTGGCCTGGGAAAGCTGCCTCTGCCCACCCCTGCCCTGCCCTCGCCTCCTCACATAAGCATTACGGATCTCCATGACCATCAGCCTGATGTCGCGGTACTCTGCCTCATCCAGCTCGTGCACCAGCTGCCGATAATCACCCTGTGGGAAGCTCAGGTCAGGCCTGAGTTGACATGTGTCCTTCCCCCATGCACCCTGACCTGGGCCTCACCTACCACATGGGGCTGCTTGGCTGCTTTAGTTACTGCATCACCACGCTCAGAGAAATACCTGTGGAAGAAGTGTGTATGGAGTAGGAGATGAACGAAGTCTCTGTCCAAAACAAAGCAGTATGCATGTGGGTGGTCACTCACTTAGAGATTTGAGTGTGGAAGCCTTCTAGCTTGGTGTGGAGGCTGGTCATCAGCTCAAATACCTTCTCCTAGGGGGAAAAAAAGCAAGGGGGAAAATGGAAGGAAGTATGGACTAGAAAGGAGAGTGGGGAAGTGGGGCAGTAGCACTCTCACCTGGACAGCCACTCCAAAATTGTTCCCATCCTCAATCCGAGGTATCTGCAGCTGCAACCACGTGGTGACCTGGGAAGAGGGAATGGCATCATGCCACATCAGCCCTCTACCCAATTCCCAGTTTCGTATCCTCCCTTGCTTCCCTCCCCACACTGGGTGGAGGCATGCCAGGTCTATCCTGAGCCCCAGGGCCTGGACTTATGTTTCACTTGCTGTGCCCTCTCTTGCTAAAACCTGGCAAGTGCCAGGCCCTAACTAGCAGGGACCAAGAGGACAAGGGTTTGACTTGAAGCTTTAGAGTTGAAAGAGGAGGGCTTGCCAGGTTGAGCTGCTCAATGACATCCCTGATCTCAGGCTTCAAGCGCTGCAGAAGGACCACAATCTTTTCATTGCAGTTCACTGGGCCACAGGGAGGACCTAGAGAGTGAGCAATGTGTCAGTCACATGATTATGCCTATGTGAGAGGTGAAGGGGAGAGTGGAAAGAAATCCTTAGGAGGACCTCCTGTGGGTGGGACTCAAGTCTCTTCCCACCGTCATAGTTTTACCTTTGTCTTCATCTTCCCCTTTCTTCTTTTCATCCTTGTCTTCCTTCTGCAGGGAAAGAGGGGCTCATATGAGTCAGGACTAAGGCTGACTTCCCCCATGGTTGGATCCCTCCTCCCAGGTCTTCCCAGCTTGCCTCCTGCTGTTTCTTCCGCTCCTCTTTTTCTTTCTCCTTGACTGGATCAGGCACTGGGATATCCAACGGGGACTTCAGATTGCTCAGGTTGGCTTCATTGAGAGCTGGCTCCTGGTGTAGGGTGGGAGGAGGGCTGGAGGTGAGGGTGTTCCTCTCACCTCACTCTCACGACCTCCCAGACTCTTCTCTTGGTCTTTACTCCCTAGCTCCCTGCCCAGCCACGGTACCTTTAAAAATGCATCCAGCTCAGAAATCTTCTTGGGGAAATAGCTCCCGAGCAGGTTCTCTGTCTGTGTGTGAGGTGGGGGTGGAGGAGGATGGGAGTCAGCATCAAATGCCTGTCCTAGGTGGTGAGGCAGGGTTGAGCAGTAGGAGTTGGGTAGGAGTGGGGCTGCTAATGGGCAGGTCTTACCTTGGTACAGAGGTCTTCACGAAACACATCCACCTGTGGGGCACAGACATCCCTTCAGAAATCTGGCTTTAATGCCAGTTCATTTGAGGACAATTCCCTTAGGGTTATGCAGGTCCTGACCTGGGGAAGGGTGGAGTGGATCCCTCTAAGGCTAGACCTGAAGAAAGCGAGATAGACGCCTGTAGAGGGGGTTGGGGTGGTGGAGGAGTGGATCTCTGCAGACCTGGATCTGGGAAGGGTGGAGTGGGCATCCCTGGGGCTGGATATGGGGGATGAGAACGTTCCTGGCGGTGAAGGGCCAGTGGTTCATGTGAGAATGGATCCCTGGGGTCACCTGGGTAGTGTAAGGAGGGGTGCTGAAAGGCCTCTGCGAGTGGGACAGGAACGGAGTGGGCCCCGGGATCCTCCCTGACGGAAAGGCCAGGAAGTAGCTGGAGCAGTCCCGCCCCAGGTCTGTGGGTGGCCCCGGCCCCAGGCCAGCGGAGTTCCCCTCCATGCCAGCTCTCCGCTTCACCTCACCCCGCCGAACCACAACCGCCTCGCCTCTCCTCGCAGGTAGCCGTCGCCGCTCTCTCCGGACCGCAGGTGCTTCGGGCGCCCCGGCTCGGCCTGCTGCCCCCGACCCGCGTGGGAGCCTGGAGGGCGGGTCGGGGATGCCCCCGGCCGCTCGAGCCACGCCTCCCCAGTGGGCCCTTCTTAGACCCGGTGGCTCTCACCTTGGCTTGGGCCTCGGGACGGACCCTGAGTGTGGTCATGGCCGGGGTGAGGGTCCTAGCGCCGCACGAGGAACGGAGTGGGCACCGCGAAGGGAAAGCGAAAGCAGCGCCAGCACCCCGCTCGGCCTTCCTGGGTAGTGGAGCGGGGACGGCTGGAGGAGGCGGGGTCAGCCCTGGGAGAGGGGCGGCGCCGCAAAGGAGGGCGGTGGGCGCGGCTCCCCCTAGCGCGCACAGGCGCTCTTCGCCCACCTTCCCCGTGCCGCCTCTCCAGGGCCAGCTTCCAGCCTCCCCCGCCGTCCGCTGGCCGGGTCCCCGCCTCTCACCGCCAGCCACCGGAGGACCCTGCTCCTCCCATCGCCCCGCCCAAAGCCGTCTCTCCGCGCCCCGCCCTCCCCCTCCGGCCTCCCCTCCCCCATCCCCTCCCCTTCCCCTCCCCTTTCCTTCCCCTCCCCTCCCCTCCCACCTCCCGTCTCCCTTCCCTTCCCCCTCCCATCCCCCTCCCGCCTCCCCACTGACTCCCCACCTGCTGCTCTTCTTCCCCTGCTCGGCCTGGGACAGATAAGCCCTATTTAGGGCTCTTCCGTCTTTCCCCAGAAATGGAACAAGACCTGGCCTCTCTTTCCTAACCTTGCCAGCGTGGGCCTCTGGCTCTGCCAACATCTTCCGCACCTGCAGCAACACTGGCACTAGAGCAGGCACCAACCCGGACCAGCTCTCTCCTGGACCAGGGCTACAGATGTCATTCTTCTATAACCCAACTCACGGAACAGCGGGTTCATGCCTCTCTGGCTTAAAACCCTTTCTCTGCTGCCTGTTGACCTTAGAATGAAATCCAAAAGGCTGTCCTTCGTGGCCTGCCTGGCACCTGTCTCCCCTTCAAGTTCACTTTCTACTGCTTGCCTCCTCATTCATTACGCTTGCAAATACTTGGGTTATTTCTCAAATGTGTCGTATTCATTCCTGCCTCAGAGCCTTTGCCCTTGTTAATAATCCCTTTGCCTAAAACACCCTTGCCCTGGGTGTTGTCATTCGGTTCTCAATTTAGATGTCACGTCTTCAGAGAGAACTATTTTCATCATCCTCTATAAAGAACCTCCCTCCAAATCTACTACAAATTAGCCTGTTTTAGTACATTCATAGCATTTATTTCTATTAGCCAGTTTTTTTTTTTTCTTTTTTTTACAGGATAGTGATTTAAACCAGGTTTTGGGCAAACTTTATTTCTATAAAGGACCAGAGAGTAAATATTTTAGGCTTTATGGGCCTGCCATTGTAGCAGGAAAGCTGCCATATGTAAATGAATTAGTGTGGTGAAATCCAATAAAACTTTATAGACACTGCAATTTGAATTTCATGTAATTTTCTCCTGTAATAAAATCTTCTTCTTTTGCTTTTCAACCATTAAAAAATGTAAAAATGGCTGGGCACAGTGGCTCACGCCTGTAATCCGAGCACTTAGGGAGGCCAAGGCAGGTTGATCACTTGAGGTCAGGAGTTTGAGACTAGCCTGGCCAACATGGTGAAACTCGTCCCTACTAAAAATACAAAAATTAGACCGGTGAGTGGTGGGGGCCTGTAATACCAGCTGCTCGGGAGGCTGAGATGGGAGAACTGCTTGAACCTGGGAGGCAGAGGTTACAGTGAGCCAAAATTGCACCACTGCTCTGCAGCCTGGGCAACAGAGTGAGACTCTGTCTCAAAAAATAATAAAATAAAAATGTAGGCTGGGCATAGTGGCTCATGCCTGTAATCCCAGCACTTTGGGAGGCAGAGGCGGGCAGATCACCTGAGGTCGGGAATTCAAGACCAGCCTGACCAACATGGAGAAACCCTGTCTCTACTAAAAATAGAAAAATTAGCCAGGTGTGGTGGCACATGCCTATAATCCCAGCTATTCAGAAGGCTGAGACAGGAGAATCACTTGAACCTGGGAAGAAGAGGTTGCAGTGAGCTGAGACTGTGCCATTGCACTGAAGCCTAGGCAAGAAGAACAAGACTCCATCTCAAATAATAATAATAAAATGTAAAAAAGTTCTATCTTTTTCTTTTTAAAAAATTTTTTGTAGAGACAGGGTCTCACCATCTTGTCCAGGCTAGTCTCAAACTCCTGGGCTCAAGTGATCCTCTTGCCTTAGCCTCCCAAAGTGCTGGGATTACAGGTATGAGCCATCACTGCCAGGGCTCTGCCTAAAAAAAAAAAAAAAAAAAAAAAAAAAATTATCAGTTTTCCCGATTTTTGTTTTCATAGTTATGAGCAAATAATGAGAGACCAGAAGATAAAAAAAAAAAAAAAAAATTATAAAAACTATTCTTAGCTTTCAGGTCATACAAAAACTGGCCACAGGAGGGCCAAAGTTTGCTAATTCCTGGTTTAGAAGATAGAAGATACACCATATTGTCTAGCTTTGTAATCTTGGCTCCTCTGTTTATTAGTTGTGAACAAGTTACTTAACCTCTGTCTCAGTTTTTGCAACGGTACAATGGGAACACTACTACCTCAATTTTTTTTTTTGCCAATCAAGATCAGTACAACCTACCTCATACTTTTACTGTTGTGAGGACCAAATGTGTTAACTTTTGTAAAGAACTTATAGACACTTAGAACAGTGCCTGGCACAGAGTAAACAGAGTGCAAGTGTCTGCTATTATTTGTGTGTCTATTATCTGCCTTCCCCCGTTAGTTCATAAGCCTCCAAACAGCAGAAATCTTGTCTTTTTTTTTTTTTT